CACACCCCTCACGCGTTTCGTGGCCCCGTATGGAGCTCCACCTAAGGTCCCAGTGGCGCCAGCCGCCCCTCAGGCGTTTCGTGGCCTCATAGGGAGCTCCACCTAAGGTTCCTTGGGCGCCGTCCGCATAGCGGCGCCGCCCTACTTTGACATACCCCTCACACGTTTCGTGGCCCAGAATGGAGCTCCACCTAAGGTCCCAGTGGCGCCGGCCGCATGGCGGCGCCGCCCCATTTCGGCACACCCCTCGCACGTTTCGTGGCCCGCCCAATAGGGAGCTCCACCTAAGGTCCCAGTGACGCCGTCCGCAGGGCGGCGCCGCCCCATTTCGGCACACCCCTCACGCGTTCCGTGGCCCCATATGAGCTCCACCCAAGGTCCCAGTGGCGCCGTCCGCATGGCGGCGCCGCCCCATTTTGGCACACCTCTCACACGTTTTGTGGCCCCATTGGGAGCTCCACCTAAGGTCCCAGTGGCGCCGTCCGCATGGTGGCACCGGCCCATTTCGGCACACCCCTCACACGTTTCGTGCCCCCGTACGGAGCTCCACTTACGGTCCCAGTGGCGCCGTCCGCATGGCGGCGCGGCCCGATTTCGGCACACCCCTCAGGCGTTTCGTGGCCTCATAGAGAGCTCCACCTATGGTCCCAGTGGCGCCGTCCGCATGGCGGCGCCGCCCCATTTCGCCGCACCCTTCACGCGTTTCGTGGTCTCATAAGGAGCTCCACCCAAGGTCGCAGTGGCGCCCGCCGCATGGTGGCGCCGGCCCCATTTCGGCACGTCCCTCACGCGTTTCGTGGCCCCATAGGGAGCTCCACCTAAGGTTCCTGGGGCGCTGTCCGCATGGCGGGCGGCCCGATTTCGGCACACCCCTCACGCGTTTCGTGGCCCCGTATGGAGCTCCACTTTAGGTCCCAGTGGCGCCGTCCGCATGGCGCCGCCGCCTCATGTCGGCACACCCTCACACGTTTCGTGGCCCCATAGGGAGCTCCACCTAAGGTCCCAGTGGCGCCGTCCGCATGGCGGCGCCGCCTCATGTCGGCACACTCCTCACACGTTTCGTGCCCCCGTATGGAGCTCCACCCAAGGTCCCAGTGGCGCCGTCCGCATGGCGGCGCGGCCCCATTTCGGCACACCCCTCACTTGTCTCGTGGCCCCATAGGGAGCTCCACCTGAGGTCCCAGCGGCGCAGTCGGCATGGTGGCGACTCCACCGACGGCCCCTGTGGTTACGTTCTCATGCGCCCCCGCCTATTGCGGCACACTCCTCACACGTTTCGTGGCCCCATAGGGAATTCCACCGACGGCCCCAGTGGCTGCTTTAGCATGTGCCCACCGCACAATTTTTGGCACACTCCTCACACGTTTCGTGGCTTTATAGGGAGCCCTCCGAATGCGTTGCATACAACGACGGTGTTTACAATTGACAATTGCATATCGGTGGGTTCTTCGCCAAGTTTTTTTTTCTCCCTCGATGCAGTTCAGTCGCGCTTCTTGCGGTCCGTGAGTATGTTTGATGCCGACTTCTTGGTTTTTTCACGCCCATATGCAACCAGTATCCACTAGATGTGCCCAGGCTTCGCTAAATTCGATTTGATGTAGTGCGCGCGCTAGTAACCTCAGAACAAGCTCGACTCAGGTCTTGTTACAACCATATTTAACACCAGGTTTAGTTAAAGTGGGTTTGAGTCAATGCGCGTGCGTATTAAATCATGTTGTTTTCCAGTAGTTCAGGTTTCCCTCAAATTTACACGAATCGCAAGACAGTTTGCTCATAACAAATTCACGCACAGTGTCACGCACCCAGGTTTGTTGTAGCAACCAGTGAACTGTAAGCATGATTGATTTCGTACGTGCGCATCTTGATAGAAGCGCGCCAGGCTTTGATAGAGCCAGCATTCAATAAAGCGTCAAGTTTTAGCAGAAGAGGTATAAGTTTTAACGCACGTTTGAACAAGGCTTAACAACCAAACACAAGCAGGTTTAATACAGGAACTCGGTTTTATTCAAGTGTGTCTAATGCAGGCCGAAAGGTTAATGAGTATGCGCGCAGCTGGAATCATGAAATCGCGGGCGTTGATATAAGCAGGCTTTGTTTAAGGTTCGGTCGTAATTAAAGTGGTAAGTTCAAGTGAGTGTGCGCGCAGCTGCAATCAACCATATTTATAGTTTAAACGCCAGTGCTATCGAAGTACCAGACCTAATTCAATCGTTAGATTTAGCACAGTCTAACAACATGGATTTCAACACCCGCGCGCAGTCGGAACCGGATGTAACAGGAACCAGGCCCGGCTGTAATCCAGGTTACGTGCGTAAGTAAAATGCCAGATTTGCTTGCGTGCGCGCGTGCGTAAACTCTCAGTTTGAGTAAAGCACGCCTCGCTAAGTACATTCAACCCAAGGCCCAAATGGCGCCGCCCGCACGCTTCCCTGCCATCCATTTCGGCACGCCCCTCGCGCGTTTAGTGGCCCCATAGGAGGCTCCACCCAAGGCCCGACAACTTCCCCCCCCGCACTTGTCCCCGCCACCAATTTCGGCACGCCCCTCATACGTTTCATGTCCTAACAGGAGCTCCACCCAAAGTCCCGTCCGCAAGCGTCCCCGCCACCCGTGTCGGCAAACCTTTCACACGTCACGCGGCCCCATAGGGAACTCCACCCAAGGCCCACCTGGTGCCGCCCGCAGGCGTTCGCGCTACCAATTTCGGCATACCCCTCGCACGTTTCGTGGCCACATGTGGAGCCTCACCCAAGGCTCAAATGGTCCCGCCCTCGCGCGCCCCTCACCCATTTCGGCGCACCCCTCACCCCTCACATGTTTCGAGGCCACATTAGGAGCTCCACCCACGGCCTAAATAGTGCTGCCCGCATGTGTCCCCGCCACCCATGTCGGTACACCCTTTACGATTTTTCGTGGCCCCATAGGGAGAGCTCCACCCAAATCCCAAATGGTGCCGTCCGCATGCGGCCCGCCAGTCATTTCGGCACACAAACTCATACGTTTCGTGGGCCCATATGGACTTCCACAGAAGGTCCCAATAGTGCCGTCCGCATGCGCCCCCGCCACCCATTTCGGCAAACCCCTCACACGTTTCGTGGCTCCATAGGGAGCTCCACCCAGAACCTAAATTTTGCCGTCCGCGTGCGTCCCCGCCACCCATTTCGGCACACCCTCGCAGGTTTCGTGACCCCATCAATGGTTCCGTCCACAGGCGTCCCCGCCGCTCATTTCGACACGCCTTTCGCCTGTTTCGTGGCCCCACAGGGAGCCCTACTTAAGGCGCCAATGGCGTCGTCCGCACTTGTCCCCGCCACCCATTTCGGCGCGCCCCTCACACGCGCCCCACAGGGAACCCCACCCAAGGCTCCACGTGGTGCCGTCCGCATGCTTCCCCGCCACCCATTACGGCGCGCCTTGTGCACGTTTAGTGCCCCCGTGGGAAGCTCCACCCAAGGCAGGCTCCGGTGGCGACGTGTGCGTGCGCTTCCCCACCCATTTCGGCACACCCCTCAGACGCTTCGTGACCCCACTGTGAGCTCTACCCGCGGTGTCAATGCCACCGTTCGCATGCGTCCCCCCACCCCTCAGATGTTTCCCTCGCTTCGTGGCCCCACAGGCAGCTCCACCCAAGGCCCCATGAGGAGATCCATTGAAGGCGATATTCACAGCGACGGTATTCACAAGTGCATCATACGGTTGGGGTCTCTCGCCAAGGTTATATAGTTTTATTGTCTCTCCGGGGCGCCGTGTTCTGTTGTATTTTCCTGATGTCTTCCTCTGCCTCCCTCCCCTCCTCTTCTCCTTTTCTTCTCGCTCCTCCCCTTTTCTCTAAGTGTTTTCCCACGTTTTCGTTGCGTCCGCCGGGGGCTCCTGTCCAGCCGCGTTCTGCCGTGCACATCGGAAGTTTAGGGTTCGAATCATAGCCCAGATTTTGTCACCAAGGCTGGAAGGTTGATCCGTATGTTTCTCCGTGTCTTCCCTCCGCCTTTTGCCTCGTCTCCAGCGTTTTCAGGTGTTCAGTCAGTGCGCGTAGATGTTGAGACCGTTGTGTGGTTTGGTCCGTTCGCTGCGAGGTTGCGTAGATAGAAAACACTCCGAGATGCTGCGCGCGAGGTCGTCTGGCCCGTTTCGCTTGAGACATCGTCGCAAGTCGAGTTTCCGAGAGGGAGGAGGGAGGAGGGAGGAGGTCTCAAATCCAGGGGAACCGTTCCACCACAGACTCTTCGGTGGTCGAGCTATTCTTGTGGAGGGGTCTGGGCGCCCCCCTGGCCCGACGGCTGAGGTAGCTAGTGCTGACGCGCGAGGGCGATTTCTTGGTGCATGCCAGAGGCCTCGCAGGGTGGAGCCATGCTTGAGCAAATCGTGGAGATGCTTCGAGCGATGGGCCAAGCGAAGAGGGGACGAAACAGGAATCATGGACGAGAGAGGCGGAGCCAGGCCCAACTTATTTGTTTGAAGGCATCCGTGGCGAGGATGCATTCTGGAAGCGACATCGAGAGTGCAAGATAATGATGTGATGATGATGATGATGATGATGATGATGATGATGATGATGATGATGATGATGATGATGATGATGATGATGATGATGCTGCCGATGATGTTGATGCTGCTGATGATCATGGTGTTGATGGTGATCATTATGATGATGGTGACGGTGATGAGGATGATGACGATGGTGATGCTGCTGCTGATGATGCTGCTGCTGCTACTGCTGCTGCTGCTGCTGCTGCTGCTGCTGATGCTATTGGTGATGAGGATCATGATGATGCTGATGCTGCTGCTGTTGATGACGATGATGATGATGCTGCTGATGATGATGATGATGATGATGTTGATGATGATGATGATGATGATGATGATGATGATGATGATGATGATGCCTTGTACTTGTACGGAAATCCTTGAGTGCGCAGTGGGACAGCCGTGGCAGCATCCTTGCGTCTTCCGTCCTATCTTGGCTCAAGCTTCACAGGCGCGGCTCCCGCGGCGGACCCCCCATGCTCGACTGGGTGGTGCAGCGCGGGGGAGAGTACGCCGCGCAGGGCTTGGTGAACTACATCGCGCGGTGCCCGGCGGCGCCGCCGTGCCCTGCCTGCCCGGCGCTCACCTGCCAGGCTTGTGGCGTCTGCCAGGCGCCCGCCTGCCCGGGCCTCTCGTGCCCGGCCTGCCCGACCTGCCCGGGCCTCGCGCCGGCGGCTGGGGCGGCGGCGTGCTCGGCCTGCCCGGAGGCCCCGGAGGCAGCCCCGTGCGCCGGGCACGGCTGGGGGCTGCTCTGGTTCGTGTGCGGCGTGGCCTGCGGCCTCGCGTCGTCCGCTGCGCTGCTGGGCGCTTGGCGCGCGGCTCGGTGCCGCGGCTGGCGCGGGCGGGCTGCCATCCAGGGCTACTCGGAGCCAGGGCGTGCCCCCGTGAGCGATGGCGACGTGGGCGTACGTACTGTACTTCGGGGGCGGCCCCCGTCAGGTCTGGCACCAGAGGCTGGTGCTGGGGCAGGTGGCGTTGTCGGGTGGTAGCCTCTTCGTGATCGCCACGCCCGACCGCCACGTGTACGCGGAGGACTACAGTGCAGGGTCAGCCGACGTGGCAGCCGTGAGGTGGGCCGCGGCCTTCAACGTGCTGCCGGACGGCATCCCTCCTGGGGACGTATACCGTTTCCGGGCGGAGCCGACGGCGGCACAGCAGGCCGCCTTCCTCGCCGCGGCGGTGCCCGAGGCCGCGGGCGAGTGCGCCGGGCTGGCCGCGGCCCAGGGCGTGGCAGCCCCGGCGGTGGACGCCCACTGCCTGCTGCCGGTCCCGGTGGGCGGTCCCGCGGCCGGGGCAGGGGCTGCCCCGGTGGTGGCCGCTGCGGGCGCGCCCGCCGCTCTCGGAGCCGCGGCGCCCGCGCGGGTGCCGCCGCTCGTCGGGCCCTTGCAGGGGGTCGTGGCTGTTGGTGCGGCCGACGGACGTGGGGCTGCTCGCTGGGTCGCCGCCGAGTGCTTCGGCGGCTACCGCGTGGGTGACGATGTGCCCCACCAGGCCGGAGCGGGCATTGTCGGGGACAAGGACATCCACCGGCTAGCGGACGGCTCGGGCCTCTTCGTGCAGTACCTGCGGCCGAGCGACGAGCAGGAGTTCTTCGACCGCATCGTGGCCAGCGACGCCCGCATCCTCCCAGTGCGGCGCAACAGGCTCGGGCGGCGGGAGCGGACGTGGGCGGACATGTGTGCCGCGGTGACGAAGGAGGATTTCGGCAAGGACTGGACGCTCGGTGGCGTCCGGACGGCGGGCTGGTGCCTGGAGCACATCAACTCGGAGGGAGGCAGCTTGGATGCGCACCACGATCGGTTTCGGTCGCTGTGCCGCCTGGAGCCCAACGCATGGGGAGTGGCCGAGCACCTCCACCTCACGGCGGCCGTCAAGGCCGGCCTCCTCGTCGACCAGCTCGATGGCACGAACCTCGTCATGGTCGAGATGCTGCTGAGGAGGATGCAAACGATTGAATTCGCCCACCTCGAGCGGGCGAAGGAGGCCGAGGCAAAAGGATACAGTGGCCGTCTCAGCCTCGAGGAGCAGCAGGCCTTCTCGGGGCTCAGCCGGGGCTCGGGGCAGCTGATGATTTGTCCGGAGCTCCTCGACGTGGTTCGGATCGACGTGGAGCGGGATGCGCAGCTCAACAAGGCCCTGCGGAAGGGGCGCGAGGAGCGAGATGCCGCCCGCAAGAAGGGCGGGGGCGACAAGTCGTGAGCCTCCGCCAACATCTACATCTGAGGTTGGCTCGCGCTGCTCGGAGGGTGCAGCGCTGGCCTCTTGCTCTCTGTTCGCCCCCCTCCTCCTGTCCTCCGGGCTTCCCCCCTCATGCATACTTCTGCGCCTCGCGCTCCCGGCGTCCGGGAGGCGCGCAGGCCCCGTGTGCCGCCGCCCTACGAAGGTTTTAATTACGGGGACGAGCCTTCCCGTGCGGTACCCCGCGACATCTTGCCTTTACCGCGGCCGGCGGTGGAGCGGTATCGGGGTATCAATGGAGGGCTCTCCCGTGCGGTCCGACAGCGTCGTGGTAAGCGCGAGAGTTTTGAGTTGGACTGCGATCGTGCCGTCCACGCCTTGAACTCGCTCTATCTTCGCCAGGACCAGCCTCCCGTCGGCCAGGGCGCCGACCGTGCAGTTTTTGTTTCCTTGGGCCAGCGTCGCTGTCTTGATAGGATTCGGGACTCCGTCGCTGCCCTCGGCCCGCCTCCGCCGGAGGTTACTCCCGCAGAAGCTCTCCGGAAGCTTCGCGTGGCGAGCTGGTATGATGTTGACTCTGCTGTGCTCGGTTCCTATAACCTCGCTAGCGTCTCGCTCCCCTCAGGCTCACCGGCACCGGTGCCGCTCGAGGATCTGTGGGGCGCTGGCGGGTCGGACATGATTAGGGACTTCGTCCAAAGCCGATTGCTACCGTCTAGTGAGGTAGATACTCGTTGGAAAAATTCTCAAGTCGCGGTGCAGTATAGTGACCCAAAGCTGCGTCGGGTCGCGGCCTTTGAGGAGTTCATCCGTGCATTGCAGCAGCGAGGCATGGTAGATTTCAGCTTCTCATGTAAGGAAAGGGTAGAAGCTTTTTTCGTGCACAAGAAATCCGGGAAGCTCCGGCTGGTAGTAGACTGTCGTAGAAGCAACTGTCACTTCCAGGACCCTGCCCCCGTTTCCCTCCTCACCGGCGAAGGCCTTGCTGGGCTGGAGCTCGGCGAGGGTGAGGACTTGCATGTTGGCGGGGCCGATTTGTCTGACGCCTTCTATCATATGCAGTTGCCTCCCGATTTGAGACCGTTCTTCTGTTTCAGGGCTGTGCGGGCGGGGGCGGTGGGGTGTACTAGGGTCAATGGGAAAGCCGTTCCCCCGTCTGCCATGGTCTACCCCCGACTGTCAGTGATGCCAATGGGTTGGAGCTGGGCCCTGTGGATGTGTCAAACGGTCCATGAACGTATTGTGGAACAGGCCGGAGCTTCCCCGGAGAACCGCATTGTAGATAAGCAGGTGACGCCGGACCTTCATCGTGCGTGCCATTCGCAGTATGTGGACAACTTCATCGCTGTCTCTACTGACGCCAGTGCTGTTCGCTCTCTCGTTGCGGATGCGATTCATGCTCTTGAAGGGCGGGGTCTCGTCGTTCATGAGGAGGAGTATTCGGGGGAGGACAAGGTGGCCCAAGTTTTGGGGTGGCAGATCGACGGGTCCCGGGGCCGCGTGGCGGCCACCCCGGTCCGTCTCTGGAGGGCCCGCCTGGCCATTCGGGCGGTCCTCCGGAGGGGTAGGTGCTCTGGGCGGGACCTGGAGCGCCTCCTGGGGCATCTTGTCTTCCTCTCCCTGGTCCGCCGGGAGGGGCTATCGCTGTTCTGGTCGTGCTATGCCTTCGTCAGGAAGAATTACACCCAGGATGTGCGTCTGTGGGCTTCGGTACGTCGCGAGCTCTCTCTCTGGGATGGGCTGGCTCCTCTCCTCTGGCGGGACCTACGGGCGGGCTGGAGCGACGAGGTGGTGGCCGTCGATGCTAGTGAGTGGGGGCTGGGGGCGTGCGCCGCTCATTGTGGGGCCTCCCTGGGCCGGAGCGTCGGCCGGACCTCGGAGCGTTGGCGCTGGGGTCGGGTCGGCGCCGCCATGGGCCCTCGTCGCCACGCGCTGGACCACGCTCGTAAAGCTGAGGCGGCGGCGGCCCTGGCGGGGGGGGCCCGCGAGGCTGCCCCCTGGATCGCCGCCGCCAGCGACGTCCCAGGGCCCGAGTGCGCTCCCCCCCAGCCCCCCTTGGCCGGCTCAGGTGTCCTGGACAGCCCCGGTGACGTCTTCGGGTTCGGTCGGGTCAAGCGGGTCGTGGACTTCCCAGAGGTCCCGCGGGAGATGATCGAGCTGCAGTGGTCCGTCGTCGGTCGCTTCCCTTGGAGGCGCAAGGGGGAGAGTATCGCCGTGTACGAGGCTAGGGCCACCCTGTACGGGTTTCGTCATCTCCTTCGATCGTCTCGGAACCTTGGGAAGCACCTGCTGGTCCTGGGGGACTCGCAGTCGACGGCCGGTGCGGTGACGCGGTTTCGGAGCGACAGCCGTAGCGTGATGCGGGTCACCCAGGCGATCGCGGCCCTCTCGCTCGCTACCGGCTCGGCCCTGCACTATCGGTGGTTGCCCTCGGAGTCGAACGTCGCGGACTCTCCTTCCCGAGGCCTCTGGGCTCCTGCGGTTCCAGGCCCGCTCGATTTTTCCAAACATGCTCCCGCGGGCCAGACCCGCACCGACCTCGACCGGCGCACGGATGGCGCCGCCGGCGGCGCCTGCGGGCTCGCTGGGCTCGCCGCGGGACAAGCGGGGGGCCACCCGTGGTGCCATGACGGCGAACCTCTCTACGTCTGCACGGGCCCCCGGCCCGCCGCGCCGACAGCGAGCCGTTGCCCGCCCTCCTCCAGCCGTGAGGAGGCTCCTGGCGGTGGCCAGCGTCGCGGCCCAGCGGAGGGCCTCTGCTGTCACAGTGGGGGGGCCCGCAGTGCTGGAGAGCGCCTCGGTTCAGCCTCGGGCGCGACAGAAGTGCCAGTCGCTGTTCACCGAGGTCCTGGCTTGGCTTCCCGTCCCGATGGCAACCTCCGAGGCGGGCGTCGACCTGCAGCTCGTGGGGTGGCTGGTCGCGCGGTACCTGGGCGGCGAGGACCTGGCGAGCGCCCCCTGCTGGGCCATCACGCTTCACGCGCAGGGGGTCAGGAGGTCGCCCAAGACGAACAAGTTCGACAGATCCATACGCCTGGATCTGGAGCGGCATGCCCCGCTCGAGCCAGGGCTCAAGGCCCTCTATCAGGGCCGGAGTCCGCGCTCGCCGCTCGTCGTCTTCGCCCCGCAGGTCGTGGTGACGACGGTGTGCAACGTCGTGCGCAGCCACAAACTGGACGGGTACCTCGGCGACGTCCCTTTGTCCCAGCTCAAGCACGGCGGCGCCTCGCACGACTCCGCCAAGGCCTTCAGGGGCCTGAAGGACGTGTGGCGCCGCGGGCGCTGGCGGTCGTGGGCTTTGGTCAGGCGCTACGTGAAGGGCAGCCGCCTCGGCCAGGTGCTGCTCGAGCTGCCCAAGGACCTCCGCGCCCCCGCGCTGTCCTGCGAGCGCTCGATGGCCTCCATCGTCCGCGGCCGGCTTTGTCAGGCGGCCCTCGGCCTCAGGTCCGCTTCTTCCTCGAGGTCTTCTCGGGGTCAGGCCGGCTCGGCCAAGCAGTCGCGAGGGAAGGCGTGAACGTTCTTCTCTGGGACGTGGAGCTGGGTGCCGACTACGACCTTCGTCTGGCTCGGAACCGCAGCTTCATCAGGGGATGGATCCGCTCGGGTATCGTGATCGGCGTCCACTTGGGAACACCATGCTCCTCGTTCTCGCGGGCGCGCGATGTGCCCCCAGGACCTCCACCATTGAGGTCAAACACGTCACCCATGGGCCTCAACGATTTGAACCCCGCCGACGCCGACAAGGTTCGCGTCGGGAACTTGTTAATGTTTTTCTCCGTGGCGGTGATGCGTGAGGCTATGCTCTTGGGCATACCAGCTACTCTTGAGACGCCCGCCCGAAGCCGTATTTGGATTTGCCCCGCCATGCAGAGACTTCAAAAATCCAACAAGATCAATTTCACTGTCACCGATTTCTGCATGTGGGGCGCCCAGTGGAGGAAGTCGACCGGTTTCCTCAGCACGGGTCTGTGCATGGACGCCCTCGCCGAAGCTCGGTGTCTCGGCGCCAAGCGTGGCCTGTGCAAGCGCTCCGGCCAGCCGCACATCCCCATCCAAGGGAAAAACGACAAGGGTGTGTTTTGGTCCAAGATCGCCGAGCCTTATCCTCCTGGACTTTGTAAAGCCCTGGCTTCTATTTACTACAATGCGTGGGCCTCGTTTAGAGCCGAGTTGTTCACTGAGAAGGTGTTTGCGGCCCCGTCGGGGCCAGATTGCTGATCGGGTGGTCTATGTGGTCCGACAGTCTTGGGAGGTGTGCGTGCTCGGCTCCCGAGTGGTCTGGCCTCGCCCGCTCCGTTTCGCAAAGGTCGTCGACTCGTGCTACGCCGTCTGGCTGGAAAACGAAGCCCGGGGGGATGCCTTGTACTTGTACGGAAATCCTTGAGTGCGCAGTGGGACAGCCGTGGCAGCATCCTTGCGTCTTCCGTCCTATCTTGGCTCTAGCTTCACCCCCATCTACCCCAACCGCCGCCCTGTTTTTCTTTCTTTTTAAGGTTTCTTCCTCGTTAGTTGCTTTTGAAAGGGAGGTGTGCGTGCTCGGCTCCCGAGTGGTCTGGCCTCGCCCGCTCCGTTTCGCAAAGGTCGTCGACTCGTGCTACGCCGTCTGGCTGGAAAACGAAGCCCGGGGGGATGATGATGATGATGATGATGATGATGATGATGATGATGATGATGATGATTATGATGATGATGATGATGATGATGATGAGGATGGTGGTGGTGGTGGTGGTGATGATGATGATGATGATCATGATGATGATGATGCTGATTCTGATAAGGAGGGGGATGATGCGGAGGATGCGGATGAGGAGGAAGAGGATGCGGAGGAGGCGGAGGAGGAGGAGGAGGAAACGGAGAAGGAGGAGGAGGAGGAGGAGGAGGAGGAGGAGGAAGAGGAGGACGTGGAGGAGGATGGGGAGGAGGAGGAGGAGGAGGAGGAGGAGGAGGAGGAGGTGGAGGAGGAGGAGGAGGAGTCCGATGGGGGAGGAGGAGGAGGAGGAAGGGGAGGAGGCGATGGAGGAGGAGGAGGAGGAGGAGAGGAGGAGGAGGAGGAGGAGGAGGAGGAGGAGGAGGTGGAGGAGGAGGGGGTGGATGAGGAGGAGGGGAGGAGGAGGAGGAGGGAGGAGTGGAGGAGGAGGAGGAGGACGTGGAGGAGGAGGAGGGGGAGGAGGAGACGGAGGATGAGGAGGAGGATGGGGAGGAGGCGGAGGAGGAGGAGAGGAGAGAGGGGGAGGAGGAGGAGGAGGAGGAAGGAGGAGGAGGAGGAGGAAAGGCATGAGGAGGGAGGTATATGATGATGATGCTGGGAAGGAGGAGGAGGAGGAGGAGGAGGAGGAGGAGGAGGAGGAGGAGGAGGAGGAGGAGGAGGAGGAGGAGGAGGAGGAGGAGGAGTAGGAGGAGGAGGAGGAGGGGGCGGAGGCGGAGCGGACGAGGAGGAGGCGGAGGCGGAGCCGAGGTGGAGGGAGAGGAGGGGGAGGAGGAGAAGGAAGAGGAGGAGGAGGAGGAGAATGAGGAAGTGGAGGAGGAGGAGGACGAGAGGAGTAGGAGGGGAGGAGGAGGAGGAGGAGGAGGAGGAGGAGGAGGAGGAGGAGGAGGAGCGAGGAGAGGAGGAGGAGGAGGAGGAGGAGGAGGAGGAGGGGGATGAGGAGGAGAGGAGGAGGAGGAGAGAAGAGAACATATGAGAAAGAGGAGCAGAAGGAGGAGGAGGAGGAGGAGGAGGAGGAGGAGGAGGAGGAGGAGGAGGAGGGGGAAGGAGGAAAGGATGAGGAGGCGGAGGAGGATGCGGAGGAGGAGGAGAAGGAGCAGGAGGAGTATGAGGAGGAGGAGGAGAAGGAGGAGGAGGAGGAGGAGGCTGTGCAGGATGATGATGATGCTGATGATGATGAGGAGGTTGATGATGCTGCTGCTGATGATGATGCTGATGATTCTGATGATGATGCTGATGATGCTGGTGATGATGGTGATGATGATGGTGGTGATGCTGATGATGATGATGCTGCTGATGATGCTTATGGTGATGATGATGCTGATGCTTCTGCCGATGATGTTGATGCTGCTGATGCTGATGGTTGTCATGGTGATCATTATGATGATGCTGTTGATGTTGCTGGTGATGATGATGCTGATGATGCTGAATCTGATGATGCTGATGATGAGGTTGATTATGATGATGCTGATGATTCTGATGATTATGATGATTATGATGATGCTGATGATGCTTATTCTGAGTGTACTGATGCTGATGATGCTGCCGATGAAGGTGATGCTGTCGATGATGATGTTGCTGATGATGACGATGATGACGATGATGATGCTGATGATGATGATGATCATGGTGATGATGATGACGATGATGATGATGATGCTGATGATGATGATGGTGATGCTGCCGATGATCATGATGAGGTTGATGAGGTTGATGCTGATGATGCTGATGATGCTGATGATGATGATGCTGATGCTGCTGCTGCTGATGATACTGACGCTGATGATTGTGATGTTGTTGATGATGATGCTGATGATGTTGTTGATGATGTTGGTGATGCTGCTGCTGATGATGCTGATGATGATGATGTTGCTGCTGATGATGACGGTGATGATGATGATGGTGATGATGATGATTATGATGCTGATGATGATGATGGTGGTGATGATGATGATGCTGATGCTGATGCTCATGATGATGAGGATGATGATGAGGATGAGGACAATGATGATGCTGATGCTGATGATGATGGTGATGATGATGACGATGACGATGATGATGATGATGATGATGATGATGATGATGATGAGGACGAGGACGACGACGATGATGATGATGATGTTGATGATGATGCCGATGCTGATGCTCATGCTGATGATGATGATGACGATGCTGCTGA